CATCTTGATGATCCCCAAGACTTTTGGGAAAATACTCTGGACTGATGAGACAAAAGTGGAACTTTTTGGAAGGTGTGTGTCCCATTACATCTGGCGTAAGAGTAACACCGCATTTCAGAAAAAGAACATCATGCCAACAGTAAAATATGGTGGTGGTAGTGTGATGGTCTGGGCTGTTTTGCTGCTTCAGGACCTGGAAACTTGCTGTGATAAATGGAACCATGGATTCTGCTGTCTACCAAAAAATCCTAAAGGATAATGTTCGTGACCTCCAAGCTGAAGCGAACTCGGGTTTGTATATTAATGCTTCTGTAAACTCACTTCTATTACAGTAATATTGCAGCACAGACACTCAATCATTCTGTGTCCATTTTATTCTATGCGAAAAGAACCCCCCCCCAAAACCTTTAGTGTTTTTTTGTAGTCACATGACTGCTATGTCTGCAGAGTCTGCAGAGCAGTGGATAAATGGAGCCAAAGCCTCAGGTCGCAAGTGCTGGGGATGTCAGTGGTGACATCAGCAGTAGGTAGCACGCATGGTGGGCTAATGATACTACTATGGCATTAGGTGTCAGTGAGAAATGTTACAGCAAGCACTCATAGTAAGATGAAACTGGCTTTTAAGCTGGAAACTCTCCAGAGCAAACCTGAGGGCTCTATGGTGGTACTGGACAGTTTTTATTTTCAGTAGATGTTACAAGAAGCTTAGCACTGGAAGTGCTTTAATTTGTAGAAATGGCCACCAGCTCCTGTGGCTATTGGCCCAACTCTTGCCCCTTGCTTTTGGCCCATCACAGTTATGGGGGGGGCACTGCTCTGGATTATTTTTTTTTTCTTTTTGTGCATTTAAATGTGTGTGCACTAATGACGCACAACAGTGTCAACAGGGCAATAATGATTTACCTAGCTGAGGCAATTTGTGTAATTTATACCTGCCTGGAATTCAGCCTTAATACTTTTTATTCAGGTTGCAGGAACCTAGCGCAGCCAAGCAAATTTCATTTTTTTAATAGGAACAATCTTTTATTTCGGGTTTGTATTCGAGTAAAAAAAAAAAGTCTGGTTGTAAAGTTATTGGACCTGCTTTGGCCAACTGCTTTTTAGAGCAGACAGATGAGTTTGATCTTCTTCCATGTGTATAATAGTCTCTCTGCATTGTACAGGGGATAATTTCCTGAGTCATGTGAAGTGGGTGGATAGCTTTTGTCTGCACCTAGCCTTTTGTATCCCTTTTATGATGCAATTTTATTGAAGATAGGATTAGTATTAAATGCTTGGCATGTACATTTCTAATCACCCGGTATGCCTTGAAGAAAAATGTTGTGTTCAGCTTATAAAAGTTGATTGATTCATTTTTTTTCTATTTTGACTGGACCATATTTCTGAACTGGTGAATTTCTATATGCATCCATAGTACTCTGTCTTTTACATCCTTTACATTGCATGTTGGCAAATCACTGAAAGGTCCTCACCAAAGCAGTGCACTTTGTGGCATGATGGGGAACATTTGCTGTGTTTTTTTTCCAACATGTGTTGTAGTTTTACCACACAAAAAATACACTTTTTTGATCTGTTATTGCTTGTCTGCGTATTTTCAGCTTGTGAATACCTGCGTTTTTTGTTCAAGTCTGTAGTCTGCTGCCCTTTGAAGAGTAATGCTAGCGATCCACAAAATTAACCCTTGCAGAGGAGCTACCACCCCCTGCTCCTTTTGGACTAAGGGCCGGAATACAGAAGATATACTCTCCTGATCCTCCTTCCTGCAGCAGTCAACGCTCGCCTTCCACTCCTGCTGTGGTATGTGCCTGGGCGTCCTCATGTCTCATGCAGGTGAATAGACTGCATTAGAAGTGATGACGTAAGTGGGGCTTAGGACACTGGCACACACAGGAGAAGAGACTTTAGGGACTGGCTTTTCAGCCAGGTGGGGTGGAGGATCAGGTGAGTATATCTTTAATTCAGCCCCTAGACCAAAATGAGCAGTTAACCCTGGCAGTGGAGTGCCTCTTTAAATGCTATTGCAGTGTAAATATCTATGCAGTTCTGTTTCATTAGTGCTTTTGGTGTGGTTGACGCTCAAGAAATCGCTCATGTAGCTTTTAGAATTTTGGTGATATAAAGAGTTTCTCTCTGACTTTATATGCTAGAAAGTGTTTTGGGTCTTCTTCTAAAGCACTTTTCTGAATGTAGTGCAAAGTATCTCCCAGTATTTATAAAGCCCTGCCTGCCTGTATGGCTAGCACACCAATTCATAGCACATAAGGCCTTGTCACACCAAGCGCGGAACAGGTGCAGAGCAGTTGCAGACCGGATCAAAACTGTGTCCAATGTATTCCAATTGTATATTTTGCTCCAGTTCACATCGCAGCGTGCAGTTCCAGAGCAGGTGAAAAAACTGCAGCAGGCCCTAGTTTACCTGCTCTGGATCTGCAAACGCATCAGATGCAAATGCCTGGAACGCACTGAAAGCCCATGTTAAACATGTTTTGTTTTTAACCATAAACGGCCCGGAACGCATCACAAACGTGGCACAACCCACTGCACTGCGTGTGCAGAAGCCTGAGCGGATCTGCTCTGCATTTGGTGTGAACAAGGCCTAAGATGTCCATTAACCTCGAAGAATGTGTTGTATGCTTGACAATTTTGTCCTACCATGGGAAGATAGTATTTGTATACCAGTGTATGCATCATAATACAGGGGTTTTTCAAGTATTGTAGATCTCCTCACTTATATGTGCACATGAAAGAATGCTAACCCTGACAAACCATAACACTTTAAACAGTCGAACATTATTATAATTTTTTTTTTTTTATTAACTCTCCTACGCGTTGGTTAAAGTGAGCACAAGTTTACTTCACTTTCAGGTGTAGCCCAGGGTGTTTGCATGCGTTTTCTGGTGCGTTCCAGAGCAGAAAAAAATAGGGCATGTTGCAGTTTTTCCACATCCTCTGAAACTGAACGCTGTGGTGTGAACTAGAGCCCAAAATACCGTTGGACTACAATGGATGCATTTTTGATGCATTATTTAACTGCATCTGCTCCGAACAAGCCCTACAGTTTAGTATAAAGAAAAAATGATGATAAAACCCAAGGCTGCCGTTTAATTGTACAACCGTGGACAGGGTATGGGCATTCAAATATTACAGATATTTACAATTAATTAACAAGCCCTCACTGACCTTGGTAGCTGCAGGCATTATAGAGCATATTCATCCTCAACACAGCAGAAAGTAGTGTACCTTGTTGTGTCATTGTAGTACGTTGACAGCCTATGAGCCTTCTAATGTATATGCAGAGCGCTGGAACAGGACATCACTGCTTAGCCTGTGAACTTTGAGGATGAATTACTGCCATGCCAACAACTACAGAGGTCACCAAGGGCTTGTTTGAAAGTGTATGTAGTGCTTATTAGGAATGTGTACCTAGTTGCCTGGCCACAGTTACTACTGTAAAATCTTGTGTTTCACATTTAAAACCAGCAAAATAAAATGGTATTGATTAGACATGTGTGTCTGTGACTAAGTGTTTGGAGAGTATCATGGTATCGAGGTGAGTTCCTTTTGGTGAGGTTTAGGTATTCTTATGCACACCAGAGAGAGAAATGACCTCTGAGGAGCGCACACATTGAATACGAGTTTACCTTGCAGCTAAAAATGGCAGACTATTAAAAGAAAAGAAAAAAATACATTGTGTGTTCTTGACATCTTCAGAATTTTGTGTGTTCTTCTAAGACTTAGCCATATACTTTGTCCATATCACCATACGAAGGGTTACACGTTGCTGTTTTATATAGCATCAACATATTCCAGAAACTTGGTATGTTTTTGTCTAAACTTACCCAGGCAGGGGTTGTTTTTTTTTTGTTTTTTTTTTTAAATCAGTAGTACTGTGCATTTGTTTTTGTTTTGTGTTTTTTGGTGAATCTTAAAATATTAAAGAACTCTATGCAGGGGAAAACATAACCCTTTCAGTGGAGCTACCTCTGGGGTTAAGTGCTCATTTTGGTCTAAAATAACAGATGTACTCACTTGAGCCTGACTGCTGGACTGGTCCCCACATCCTCTCTCCTTCTCTGCTCCAAACATGGAATATCCTTTGGAGTCCTCACATCCAATACATCAGTCACAGGTTTAAACTGCCAGAGCGGAGAGTGAGACAAGCAGCAGGAACTGGTCTAGCAACCAGGCATGCTTGTGGTTCGGGTGAGTATAGCTCTTATTTTAGACTCTAGCCCAAAATGAGCACTTAACTCTTTCATTGTGGGGGAAACCCGACTGTAAGCGTAAAAGGAGAACTATGGTGTTAGGGCTTTTCCCCTAGTTCTCCTAAAAAGAACACAAACTAGCGTCCTCCCGTCACCCAAAGCTCAGTATACCGCGAGCTACAGCTGAGACGCCGCAGCCGGAACTGATCCCGACAATTCTGTCTGAATCGACCCAGCTGCGTGAGTGACAGCTGGCTCTGCCTATCTAGAGGCAGAACCAACTGTTCCCACCCCCTCCCCCGTCCGTTCCGCCAGTCAGCGCTGGAGGATCAGACAGTGAAGTAGGGGGCAATCCTTGCAGGGAGCCATGAGTGACAGTCACGGCTCTCTGCAGGGATAGATCGAGAAGTGAGCGAGCGACGGTATGTGTTCGCTCACTTCCAGACCTATTGAGCCGACCTGTGACGGTTTCATTGTCACAGGTCTGCTCAGATTATGAGGCTGAGTGAATATCACTCGCCTCATAATTCTCCTTTAAGTCTTATGCTCAGAGTTCCTCTTTTAAAGCTGTTGAATCACCATGACAGGATAAGTTTACAATGGTGACTTACATAGTTCCCCCTGTAAAGCATTCCTTGAAAACCTCAAAATAAACCCCCCAAAAACCTAAACCTATCCCTAAATTGCAGGCACCTAGAGGTGTTTTCCCACCATACTCTGCAAAAGAGCTGTCAAGCCTCCAGAAGTCTAGGGGGTGCTATTCATTCTGCTTTCACACACCTGCTTTTGTTGAAGCTTGGTTGTTTCAAGGGAAGCTGGGCCACACACAAATTGCTGCACAAAAAAGCAAGTAAGTAGTATGGCTTCTTAGACCTAGTGTTTGAATTCATATGATGGTACAAGGCAAATAACTGTCATATCTTTGAATTGTATATCTACCCGATTAGTTGATTTTCTACCTTCTTGCTTGGTCAAGGCACTCAACTATCCAAGTTCAGTGTAAAAAAAGTGTTTGCAAGGGTCTCTGGTGAGACGAGAGCAGTGCTGTGTCAGCTGAAATAAGATGCATGCAAAGAGAAATGGCTTGACAGGTACAGCAGATAATACAGAGCAGGCCCCCACCCACTGTGTCCTTTTCAGTGCAAAAGAATGCATTGAGTCTGGCCACAGCAAAAAATTATTCTCTGAATACTTTCTATGAAATAGAAATAAATACTGTTTTGAAATTTGGAATTCATAAAAAAATAAGTAGTTGGCAACCTACTATAATTGCACTATGCTCAGAAATACAATACATTGTGTCCTTGATGAACCACTTGGATGTTAGGCCTAGACTGTGCACATGGCATTGACTGCTCTCCAAATTGAGATTGTCTGGTCTCTTGTGACACTTAGCCTGCCACCTGTCATTCGTCTGTCAAATGCCAGTGTCTCTACTGCCTACTAAAGTTCTGGCTTTTGACCATTAATATGGCGGGACTGAGGAGGGGGAGGAGGGAGCAGGTCTTAATATAGACTTTTGGAGAAGACTGAGACACTGTGTGTAGCCTTGGCCTAGGATCTAAAGTGCTCCCTAGACACATATGCATTAATCTTAAGACTAACACTGTTACTAGCTTGCTTTTCATAAGGCACCTATACCTCAGCCCTACTGTTAATCTGGCCATACACTGTAGTATTTATTTTTGTTTTATCCTTCTGGCTCAATAAAAAAAAAAAATATCAGATTCCTCCAACGCTAAGCAGAGTGGATGGAGGAACCCCCCAACATGGTACTCTGATAGCGGCCACCACCAGCTGTTGGCTGAAAGCACCGTTCAGCCGAAGGTTTTCCAATCAGCTCCTTCGATCTTCCGATTGAGGGATGCCGAGCAGAAGGGTGCCGACCGTGGCACTCATTGTGTGAATTTCAGCCGGTTCAGCAAGAACCAGACAAAATTCATAGTGTATGGTTCGCTTTACTTTAGGCCATTGAATCTCAGCTTTACCTTAGGCCAGTGAATCTCAACTATGGTTTCTGGAGCCCTAGGCTTCCTCCAGAGATTTCTAGGGTTCCATGAGCCGTTGCTAATTGAACTACATCATATATGATGGTGCCTGCATGGTTCCAGAGCCAACGGCACAACACCCCTGATCTTCTCCTTCCTTTTTTTTTTTTGCTCTCTGTGAGGGGGGCATTCTTCCCACAGTTCACTGTTAAGGTGCCCATACACCTTACAATTATCATACGAAACTTTTCGTCTGGGGATCGAACCGTCGTACGGCGGCCCCATCCTACCCTGATTATCACAAGGTTCAATCAGCGATAGTTTAAAAAAAACACCTGGACGAATTGCAGTAATCGACCGCACATATTTTCATTTGCGCATGAGCAGTGTAAATCGTACGGAAATGCCACCAACCTTGCGAAAATCGTACGGAAACGCCACCAACCTTGCGAAAAATCATACGATCGACTAAAGTTTTGGAACATGCAGGAAAGACAAAAGTTGAACGATTGTACAGTACTGGCGGTTGCATACTACCCATACACCTTACGATTGTCGTACTAAAAGTCGATTGCATGCGGTAATCGTAAGGTGTATGGGCACCTTAAAGTGACATTAAACCCTCAGATTTTTTTAACGTAAACCAATACTGTAATGTGCGCCTTACTGTAATCCATGGTAGTTTCCCTTCTCTTTGCTGCTCTTCCTTTTAAATCTGTATCTCTTCTCATGCTGGGGGAGAACTTTCCTTTGCAGCTGAGTGCCTCTTCCTGTAGTGCTGGCTCAGGCTGTGAACCTTCACACAGACATCATGTATCCATTCCAGAGACAAGGCAGTCTGCTGCAAAACAGAAGTTCTGCCCAGCATGAGAACAGATACAGATTTAAAAGGAAGAGCAGCAAAGCGAAGGGAAACAACCATGGATTACAGTAAGGCACACATTACAGTATTGGTTTATGTCAAAAAATCTGAGGGTTTAATGTCACTTTAAGAGTGCATTTGTCCCACTGACACCTGATTAACTCGTTTTTAGCTTTCAGTGAACCCCTGCTAAAATTAGTTCAGGTGTTCCTTTGGGGTATAAAGGTTGAGAGGAAGCGGCAGCTTTAGGCACTTTTTAGACTAGAATAGCTTTCCCAGCTTTTGTTTATATTCTGCCATACTGATTTTTTTCAGGCTAAAACTTGCAAAGTCGCATTGGGTTTTTTATTTGTTCTAGGTGTATCGAGTCGTGTTACAGCAAAATAATGTAAATACTTACCGTAAAATAAAACTTGCATATAATAAATGTATGTTGTGATGCTATTTATTTTGTTGTAATACAGAAGATGACAAAGGCAATCGTGAGGTTTCACCATGGATGATGGAAGGGGAGGCCAACACAGATCCTTGGCCAGGCTATAGATATACTGGAAAACTTAGACCATATTATCCACTGGTAAGTTTAAATATCCTATTACATGGATGTGTATAGCAAAGTAAGGAAACAGTGCCTTTTGTGTGTTTCCTCATAGCAAGTTGCATATTTTCCCACCACATTCTTAAATGGGGCAGGGTGTTAATGTATATGATTTATGTGTCTATGCATGTAGTCTGCTGTCCAGCTAGTAAGGAGGATATAGTTGCAGGGGTGTGTATATCATGAAGAAACCTTGAAGGTGTGTTCATGGGTGCCATTCATTACATCATAAAAAAAAAAGGTTTTCTCTTTTATTGTTACACAAATACACTGCTCAAAAAAATTAAAGGAACACTTTATAATCCGAGTATAGCATCAAGTCAATGAAACTCCTGGGATATTGATCAGGTCAGTTAAGTAGCAGAGGGGGTTGTTAATCAGTTTCAGCTGCTTTTGGTGTTAATGAAATTAACAACAGGTACACTAGATGGGCAACAATGAGACAACCTCCAAAACAGGAATAAAACAGGTGGAGGCCACTGACATTTTTTTTCCCCCTACTCCTCTTTTCTGACTTTCACTAGTTTTGCATTTGGCTAGAGTCAGTGTCACTACTAGTAGCATGAGGCGATACCTGGACCCTATAGAGGTTGCACAGGCATGCCAACTCCTTCAGGATGGCACATCAATATGTGCCATTGCCAGAAGGTTTGCTGTGTCTCCCAGCACAGTCTCAAGAGTATGGAGGAGATTCCAGGACCCAGGCAATTACTCTAGGAGAGCTGGACAGGGCCGTAGAAGGTCCTTAACCCATCAGCAGGACCGGTATCTGCTCCTTTGTGCAAGGAGCAACAGGATAAGCACTGCCAGAGCCCTACAAAATGACCTCCAGCAGGCCACTGGTGTGAATGTCTCCAAACAATCAGAAACAGACTTCATGAGTGTACCCTGAGGGCCTGACGTTCTAGTGGGCCCTGTGCTCACTGCCCAGCAACGTAGAGATCCATTGGCATTTGCCATTGAACATCAGAATTGGCAGGTCCGCCACTGGTGCCCTGTGCTTTTCACAGATGAGAGCAGGTTCACCCTGAGCAGATGTGAAAGGGTCTGGCGAAGCCGTGAAAAACATTATGCTGCTTGTAACATCGTTCAGCATGACCGGTTTTGCTGGTGGGTCAGTGATGGTCCCAGGAGGCATATACATGGAGGGACGCACAGACCTGTACAGGCTAGACAATGGCACACTGACTGGCATTAGGTATCTGGATGAAATCCTTGGACCCATTGTCAGACCCTACGCTGTTGCAGTGGGTCCTGGGTTCCTCCTGGTGCATGCTGCGCCCGGCCTCATGTGGTGAGATTATGCAGCCAGTTCCTTGAGGATGAAGGAATTGATGCCATTGAATGGCCCGCACGCTTGCCTGACCTGAATCCAATAGAACACCTCTGGGACATAATGTCTCGGTCCCTCCGACGCCGCCAGGTTGCACCTCAGTCTGTTCAGGAGCTCAGTGGTGCCCTAGTCCAGATCTGGGAGTAGATACCCCAGGACACCATCCATCGTCTCATGACGATGGATGCATGCCCCGAGGTGAGGCATCAATACAAGCACGTGTGGGCCATCTAAACTGAGTACCATTTTGACTTGCTGCAATGAAATTTCAGCACAATGGACTAGCCTGCTGCATCATTTGTTCACTTAGATTTTTGGGGAGTCTTTAAATTCAGCCCTCTGTAGGTAATTTTTAATTTCCATCAAATTATGTGGCATCCTTTCGTTCCTAACACATTACCCCGTCCAGTATACAGTAGATATCCAGCATGATATTTGATGCTGGATAGATCTGATGTGTTTTCAAAGTGTTCCTTTTTAATATTTTTTTTTAACAGTTTATATAGTTGTATTTTCTGGCAAATGCAAGCAACTTGTATGGTGCTGAAGATTGTTTTTTGCGTTTTAACCACTTACTGTCTGGAGCAATTTTGTTTACATTTGCACACATTTGAATTGAATTTTTGGCTAGAAAACCGCTTCAGACCCCCAAACAAATGATATATTTTCTGAAAGCAGAGGCCCTGTAGAATAAAAAGAGGCTAGTTGCAATGTTTTATGTTTCATGGTATTTGCGCAAATGTTTATCAAACAAGTATTTTTAGGATAAAATGCACTAAATAAAATTTAGTGCACAGAAACGGAATATAATACTCAATTTTTTTGGTAAAATATAGAAGACAGGGTCACGCCGGATCAAGATTTACCAAACATGTCAAGCCTCAAAATTGCGTGCGTCCATGAAACTGCAAAAAACTACAATAACCAAAATTTCACCTAGGCGCTGCTTTAAACGCTTTTACTGCTCATCAGTTTAGTGTTAACAGTGATTGATGGGCCTAGAATTATTGCTCTCTCTGACGTTCGCAACGATATGTAACATGTGTGGCACATCCAACACGTGTTTGCGTTGTATGTGTGTGCGTGTGTGCATGTGGGGGGTAACGGATAAGAAAAAAAATAAATCTATTTTATATATATATTTATTTATTTTATATATTTACGCTCCAATTTATTGCTATCACATAGGGGGCTGACAGGCCCCCTGTGTAATAGCAAATATAATGTGACAGGTCCTCTTTATGGAGACCTGAGGGGACCCCTCATGTCACCTAGGGACCCCATAGAATCTGATTAAGCAGAGATCTGCTTCACCAGCTTCTTCTGGTTCTAGGAGCCGGGGAATGTGCCCAGTGACACCGGAAGTGATGTAATTCACATCACTTCCAGGTCCAGTGATCGGAGGAGAGATCAGCGGCTGGAAGCCTGCTCATCTCCCTCCGATCTGTCAGGGGAGAAAATGCTATTTGCTTGGCTTGATTTCTGTCTTCAATACTTTTGAGTCATGAGCCCAGAAAGAGCATGCACTCAGTGATATTTTAGTAAAGGCAGAATCACAGATCTGTAATCTTTGTTCCAGGACAGATAGAGACATAGCATTTACAGATGTAGAGGTTAGAAATGGAAGTCCACATATTTGTCAGCACAGGTACCTAGATAAAGGATCAATAAAAGAGGAAGAAAAATTGAATGTGAAGCTAACTCCTGTGAGAATGGGATACAGTCTATAGTTGCAATTGTTTCTGTTGTTTCCGAAGACCACCTGCACTCCTTTCGGTCTCACAACTTTGTAATATTAGTGGTGATTGCACGGATGGCGCCGTTCAAAACTCAAATTAATCGCAGTGGTTCACTGGCACACACAAAGAAAAGATCCCATATCAATATCTTGTTGATATGTTTAAGAAATGTAATCAGAAGTTAACATTTCGGGACCTCGCAGGGACCCTTCGTCAGAGCGACAGTGACAACATACATATGTGAACATCAGGCATATATGCATATTAGGCCAGGTGCATGATGTCATCTCCCGCCAGAATTCAAATAATACACATCACAAAATAGTATAATAAGAGTATTTATGTGAAACAAAAACCCATATCCCCAAATGACTTTTTAAAATATCAAAACAGGGAGAAGGCAGCCTGCATCATATATCATGTGAAGGACCCGCTCATAGTGGTGTCACCGGCATGGACCGCTACTGCATATCTGAAACCATTATAAACAGACAGGGTGCCCATGAGGGAGTATCGCATCAGCTCATTTAAAAATAAAAAGGTGTAGGACAATGTACTGTTGAGACCCCCTGGGTTGCATCGTGTCCAGAGTGTGTATCCAAAATGCTTCTCTGTTTAGTAATACATTGTCGTGATTGCCGCCCCAAGACTGTTTTCGTATTTTCTATTGCCCGTAGTGTGTATACCTGATGGTTATGTTTAGCGAAGTGAACAGCTGCAGGTTTATTGGGGTCCATCTTCCTCCCATCTCATTTCTGCTCCGTGGCCAACTTAGTGTCACGTCTGTACTTCTGGTACCTCTTTTGAATGGGTTGTCTTTTCCTGTGTAGACAAAAGAAAAAGAAACTGTATGTGAATCTGTTTAACTCCTGTGAGAATGGGATGGACAGTCTATAGTTGCAAACATTGACTAATCTGTGAATTGGCAAGAAGCTTAGAATCCGTGGCAATTAACAAAATCACCACCTCTTCACTATCACAGGTCTGTACTATCACTTCTGTTTGTTTTTTCTCTTTCATTTACAGACGCCTATGCGACCTGTCCCAAGTTACGTGCAGAGGCCAGATTATGCAGATCATCCTTTAGGTAATTTAAAAATACTTGTTAATTTTTTTTATTTCAACATGCATTTAGTGTAGACTCCAAAAGGGATCAATTGTCTAAACATCGCGTTTCTCAGATGCCACCAGGGCAAGGGTAGGCAACCTTGACTCTCCAGCTGTGCTGAAACTACAAATCCCATAAGGCATTGCAAGCCACAGGCATGATTCCCAGAGCCAGAAGCATGATGGGATTTGTAGTTTCAGCACAGCTGAAGAGCCAAGGTTGCCTACCCCTGCACTAGGGGAATCTAAAATTCACAAGGTGTTCCTGACTTCGCTTTTGCCTTGGCATTGTGGCGAGTTGTTTGGGCTTGTATTTTCTACTGATTTTCAGAAACAATCATGCAAGAGTTGAGGGAGATCCTGCAGCTGTGTAATATGGCTACAGTTGGGCCCCATTCACACCTGCATATAGACTCATGCAATCTGCTGCGGATGGGAGGCTCTATGTAATGCCACTGCCTGCAGCTGTTGACAAGTATTTGCACAGGCTACAATTCACCTGCAGATGACCGCAGCTGGATGCAGACTGGCGCGTGGTTAGGTATTATCATCCATGGGTAATCGGAGCTAGTGTGAGTTCATGAGACTTTTGCGATGTCCAAAAATGACCTATAACAAGGAGATGTAGGGGTTATTGGTGGTGCAGACGAAAGGGGCTATGAAGATGTGGCTTCTGCTGAATTAAATCTATCCAGAACTGTTGTATCATTTTTGGTTGGACCTACCCTTCAACGGTAAAGTAATATATCCTTTTTTTTCTAGGAATGTCAGAGTCTGAGCAATCCTTAAAAGGAACCTCACAAATCAAAGTTCTTTCTGCAGAAGATATAGAGGGAATGCGTACTGTGTGTAAGGTAGGTGTGTGTGTGGATCCAGGTATAATTCTGGTGGAGCAGCCTTGTTTTTCCAACTACAGATATGTCTTGACTTTTTCTTTCCCACTTCTATCTCAGCAGATGATGGACAGATCTGAATTCTATTGTTATAGATGCCAGCCTTTAGTTGTACATAACACTAATAACATTATAACATTTCTGTTGCTCTAACATTTCTTTGTTTTTAACTTGAAGCTGGCAAGAGAAGTACTTGGAGTAGCAGCCATGATGGTTAGATCTGGAGTCACTACTGAGGAGATAGACCATGCTGTTCATTTGGTGAGGACTCCTTTCAATTGTTAGGCAGCATCGTGCTTTAAAATGTGTATGTACTTTTGTTCTTGGCTTGTTTAGAAGACACTGCCTAGTTTCTTCATCAGCAAACTCTAGGTTGTTCCTGGGAACTATCGCCAGTTTTAGAGCATTATGTTAATGTAGAATTAAAGTCTCTGTTCTTTTTGCGTATATATAGATATAGATATATAGATATAGATAGATAATGTAGCAAGCAGTAGATATACGCCACAACATTAGAAAAAAAAGTGGCTAAATATGAAATACTTAGCTGTGTCTGCGCCACTCGCTCCTGGCTGCAGAGCACATGCTGGAGGATGATGTGGGCGGGCATATGCGCAGTCCATATCAACGGCGGGGAGAAGAGGAATAGTCTCAGTGGAAGTCGATGCACGCAGCCGTGAGTGTGCACTCAGGACAGACTCTGTGGGATACAGAAGACAGCCTGCACTGGATCAGAGACTGGCTCCAGCACTGGAGGGACTGCTGGTAGTGAGTGGAAGGAAGAAAATGATCGCATCAAATTATCATTTAAGTATTAAACGCAGAATTAGAATGGGGAAAATTAAATCATGTGGATTTCATGTCACTTTAAGAATTTGTGCAAGTTGGTTTTACTTGGCTAACATTAATCAGTCTGAACATAATTTGCTGGTAGATGTTTCACCATTGCATGTGTCAGCAAAACAGTAAAGCTAGTCCTGGTCTGGCAAAACTGATTCTGGCATTGAAGCACTGGAAGTGGAGGAAGGTATTGAGATGGGCTGGTAAGTCTTAAAGTCATAGTTACATAATTGAAATAATATGAAACTCTCTATTCACAGGATATTTGAGGCAATGCAGTTTTTTATTTTATTTTTTTTTGGCCCTTGTATATTTCCTACAGGCATGCATTTCAAGAAACTGTTACCCTTCTCCACTGAATTATTATAACTTTCCCAAGTCATGCTGCACATCAGTGAATGAAGTGATCTGCCATGGTATTCCAGACAGAAGGCCTTTACAGGATGGAGACATCGTAAACGGTATTTCTTAACAATACCTAGTAACAGAAAATGGAGAAACATTGCCAAGGATATTTCTTGACTATCTGTTAAATGCAAGCATGTAATGTCACTTTTATTCATGATGTTTTCCAGTGGACATTACGGTTTATCGCAATGGTTATCACGGTGATCTCAATGAGACATTTTATGTTGGAGAAATTGATGAGGGAGCCAAAAAGCTTGTCCAGACAACCTATGAGTGCCTAATGCAGTCTATTGATGAGGGTGAGTGCTCAACTAACGATGGATAAAAGTGTGTGAGATTACATTTTGTGGCTTGTCCTTCGAACACCTAATTAACTGCAACCGGCAGTAATGTTTTTCTCTTGCTATGAAATAGGGAAGCATAACTGACCAGAGATTCAGTTCAGTGTGATGGCACAAAAAAAACAAAACGTATGTGATAGCCAATTCACATTACGGGTCCTCTTTATGGAGACATCAGGGGTCTCTAAGAGATCTGCTTCACCAGCTTCTCACTGGTGTTCTGTACCGGAGAGTGACACTGAATGCAGGAAATTATGTAATATACATCACTTCCTGCATTCGGGGACAGGAGAAGAGGTCAAAGGCAGATCAGGTACTGATCTCCCCTTGATCTCCACTGAGAGCATCGCCATGCCGGTCCCAGCCACACTGGGCATAGTGAATCTCGACTGGCAACGGAGGTACGGCGGGGGGTGGCGTCAGTGCAAGCTACTGCAAGCGATCGGGCGTCGTTTGAATGTGAACAGCCATCGCTGGCTGTTTACATTGGTAACAGTTCCCCACTCGCTGAGCGCCGCACACGAGCGGAGGGAGGGGCAGGACGTCTTAAGACGCCCTCCTGCTCCTAGAAGACTCCCGTCTGGCCGTTCAGAAACGGCCATGGACGGGAGGTAGTTAAAGATGTTTCTTTTAAGTTGTCTTGTCTCTTTTTTTTTAATGCAAATGATGTAGCTGAAAAGCCAATGTAAACCCTATATTTGTTTTTTTACAGTGAAACCTGGTGTTCGGTATAGAGAATTGGGCAATATAATACAGAAACATGCTCAAGCCAATGGATTTTCAGTTGTTCGAAGCTACTGTGGACATGGCATTCACAAGCTATTCCATACAGCCCCTAATGTGCCACACTATGCTAGTAAGTTTCCACTAGGACCTAAACCATGACCTGTATAAAAGGTGTAATTCATTCTCCCCTTCTTGACTCATTCATAACATGGCCCATGTAATGTGTGGAATGTTCTAAGGCTATTTATTTTGCACTACATTGGATGCTTTCTTAAAGAATGGTATGGGGCTGAAGTAGTACTCAGTCATGTATTAAAATGTATAATATATATATGTATGTATATGTATAGATAGATATTGCTATGCTAGTTGTATGCAACTCAATTACTGATGTCTTTTTATATTCTGTTCTGCAGCTGTACACTTCCATATATATTTACTACATTTAGAATTCTTCCTACTGTCTTTACATTTCTCCAGCTTTAGGCTACTATGGGACATAGGCCCTTCATTCTGTATGTCATCCTGACTTCCAGCGGTAGCAAAAGCTCTTACTGTGTCAATCAGCTGTTTGAGCACAATGTCTGAGCAGCTGTGAGGCTACCACCACTTGGAACAGCTTAGCTTTTTCCTGCATTATTGCATGTAATACATTTGAAGGAAATATTCATGTGAGATATAAGGAGGCTGCCATTGCTAACCTTATCAAAATGTTAGTTACATGGGTGGCATGCTGGTCCAGTGGCTTCGAGTTCTACCTTCATTATAATTCAGGGTTTAACTCCATTCAAACTTGTGCACATGCAATAGACTGGTAGTGAGGAGCTATGTTACTAATGGGGGACACAGGCGGCCAAAGCATTTGAAATTTAAAGTGTAGTTCCACTTTTGCAGCCAAATTGGTATAACCTTTATTTTGTGGTTCTATCAGGCATAACATTATGACCACTGAGAGGTGAAGTGAATAACATTAATTATCCCGTTACAATGGCACCTGGAAGTGGGTGGGATATATTGGGCAGCAAGTGAACATTTTGTTTCTGAAGTTGATGTGTTGGAAGCAGAAAAAAATGGGCAAGTGTAAGGATTTGAGCAACTTTGACAAGGACCAAATTGTGATAGATGATTGGGACAGAGCGACTCCAAAGCTGCAGCTCTTGTGGAATGTTTCTGCTCTCCAGTGGTCAGGCCAAAAGTGGTCCAAGGAAGAAAAGCCAGTTAACTGGCAACAAATTCATGGGCGGCCAAGACTCATTGATGCCAGGGCCGTCTTTACCGCGTGGCAAAAGGGGCATCTGCCCGGGGCCCTATAACTGGGCATTTTCACATGTACTCTTGTGAAAATACCCGATACTAAGCACAGATACCTGTGTTCTGTCGAGAACGCTGACCTAGCTGAACGTCAACGTCAGCATCTGCGCGTGCGCACAGACCAGTATGACGGTTTCCTTGTTAATTCGCACGACAGAACACTGGCACTAAATTTTTAAACTGAAGTGGCTGCCTGAGGTCTCATGCTTGGTAGGGACCTCGGCAGCCTTCCTGTTAACCACACGGTGCCCGTCTTATAGTGCCTTCCCATGGCGGAGGGAGGTTGGGGGGGCTCTTCATGGTTTCTTGCAGTGGGGCCCTGAAGTTTCTAGTTACGACACTGAATATAGATTTCATTTTTCTGGTTATTTTGGGTGTGTATTAAAAAATAACAAATATAAATAAATTAAAATAAATGCTGTGGAAGGAAATACAATTAATTGGCTTAGTAATATTAGATAATATGATTTCATGTTTTTCAGTGTGTACATAACTATCATTTTTAAAATATTTACTTTTATTTCAAACACCTTTTAGGGCCCATTCACACCAATTGTTGTGCGTTCCAGAGCGGTAGCTGCTGAAACGCACAGCAATTGCAAACTAAATTTCCCCCTGTGTTCTGGGGTTGGAGGGGGCGTGGCTGTGCATTGAAGTCAATGGCTGCATTAGTGCCTGTGTTCCAGTCCAGTGCGATCCGCAAAAATGCTGCGAGCACTATTTTTGCAGATCGCACTGGACCGGAATGCAGGCACTAATGTGCCTGCGTTCCGAGTGCGTGCACTGCGATCGGATGCATGGCAAAACACTGCCTGCATTCCGGTCTAGTGCGAACGTTTTGCCATGCGTCCGATTGCACTGCTGACGGAGGTGTGGCTGCGGTGCTATTGACTTCAATGCACCATATGCCCCCTCCCGCCCCAGAACAAAGGGGGAAATTTGGTGTTCAATTGCTTTGTGTTCCAGCACCTACTGCTCTGGAACGCACCGCAATTGGTGTGAACAGGAACTTAATATGCATATTAAGAGCTCTGCTATACACTCACACGCTGCACATTACTGTGAGTTGTTGCTGTGAAGCTTAGTGATGTACTTATACACACTGCACATTACTGTCAGGCTAGATTCACACCTGGGCGATCCGTGAACCTGCGGCAATCGTGCACAATGGCACCACCACTGTGATTGGCAGTGGTGGGCAAATTGTGCACAATCGCGCAGCCCCGGGATCGCCCATATCTGAACCTAGCCTCAGTTTTTGTGATATACTCATACACACTGCACTTTACTGTGAGTTGTATTGCCTTATAGGGCCCAAGAAAATGCTTGCCCAGGGTCCAATCAGTATTAAACATGGGCCTGATTGATGCATGTGGGAAGTGAAGGCTTCCCCATGTCCGATCCAATAAAAGAGCTACTGGAACTCAGATTGCTGAAAAAGTTAATGCTGGTTCCGATGGAAAGTTGTCTGGACACACACAGTAGATCCCAGTTTGTTGCATATGGGGCTGCGTAGCCGCAGACCAGTGAGGGAACCAATGCTAATCGGTGACCAGTGCCAAAATGCCTATAATGGGCATGTGAGCATGAGGACTGGAACACAGCAGTGGAAGAAGTTGACCTTGTCTGAGGAACCATGTTTTTCTTTTACATCATATGGATGGCTGGGTGTCTCTTGCCTGGGAAATAGGCAAGCAGGCAGATGCAGTGTGACGCTTACAGTTCAAGTACTTTTTTATTTGGTTAAAAATCCTAACGATCCCCCCCCCCCGCCTATGCAATGTTAAGGAGGGGGGTAGTGCAAAGTTATGTTTACTCTAACACTGTCTGTACTGTTCCGGCAGATTTTATCAGTTGTAAACCAGATTTTGACCACTGTCAGTCCTAACAAGAGTTTTAAAGGCTTGGGGGTATTGTGTGTTAAAGAGAAGAAGCTCAGTCAGACCATCTAGTCTCACTTTTAAGCTGCTCAGAGTAGCTTGGAATCTGCACAAAGACCTTCACTAAATTATTTTAGGTGTGCTGTGTGAGTAGTAACACCTAGCAAACATAGTGGGGTTTTTCATCTTTGAGTGCGAATTTGCAATTGCATTTTGTTATCTAAGGGTAGGTAGGAAAACCAGTTAACTATACATATCGCCAAGACCTATATTTTAGTTTTGCATAAAGAAAGCAATGGTTAGAGCCCTTCAACTTTTTTTCAGGAAGTAAGAGGAAATCTCTCTGAACTGTCCCCAAAGCATGTGTCCCCATAGGAAGATTTTGTCTAAACCCCTATTTGAGATAGCTGTAAAAATAAGATTTCCCACTTTCTCTCTGTCCTTCTGATCACCAGGACAAATGGAAAGGGTGAATCTCCCCAATGGGTACACAGACCACAATAAAAAACTGGACGACAGGGTTTTAGTCCTTTATTTTTTTTATTCTATCCAAAACAAAAAAGGTTGGTTATTAGAGATGCACTTTTATTTTGCCCTGCGTAAACGGTTGGAGAACAAACTAAAATTGTAGGCCTCTGTGGCAAGCCAAAGGGTAACTACCTTCTGGATTTGGAATATCATTATTCGTCTGCTCTCCTCTAGTAGTGATGAGCGAGTCTTGGTGCGAACCCAGTTTGTCTTGAGTTTGCCCAAGCTTGCACAAAACTGTTACTGATACACCACCTCTCACTGTGACATGTAGCAGGGAATGCCCCTGAATGGATTGGCCCAAAGGGATGGGGAATTCCCCTGCTGTAATTGCCAACACTGATTTGCACCAAGCCCCCACACTTGATTTTCCTCTATTTTCACATGTTCATTTTCTTTGACTTTTTTTCTGGGAAATCCGTTTACTGCTCTCTGTAGACAAAGCACAGCTGGATTGTGAAGGATAATTGCCTGGGCTTTTTTCAGCAGATGTGTACGTAGACATACATATCTTATAATCTGCTAAATACTGAAGTGTTTCTATATGGTTGCTGTCTACCTTTTTAAAGAGAAACTACAGTGACTAGAGCAGACAGAACCTGGAGCACGGGTTCATTGTAACCAATCTACTTCTAGCTTTCATTTTCAAAGCTTAACTGAAAAGAGAAGCTTGTTACTATGGGCAACTGCTGCAGATTCTGTCTTCACCAGTTTTGATAAATTCCCCCCCCCCCC